CTAATGTAGAACACTTAAAAACCTTCAATTGTTGTGACTTATTGAATCTAATGTTCACTAAAGAATTTAGGCTAAGTGAATCAAAGTTAATCATGTAATTGACCTTGTTTATAGCCACATAATTCAAACTAACTAAAGTGGTGGAAAAACATCTTAAACTAAATTCATACAAACTCATATGGATCTAGCTCAAGCTGAAATAAAAATCTGAACATGAACACCAAGAACACATGAACAAATCGAAGCACATTCAAATGAGTTTATGAATTCCAAAATTGAAACACTATTAAATCTCAATTCAACATCCACAACTTCAATTTAAACATAAAAATGGAATCAAAATCATAACCTAACTAGGACAATAATTTTGAAATCCACAAAGAAAATAGAAGAAATTATAGAATTGAAAATACAAGCGAGGAAAACAAATCTGAAAATGTTAAATCACAAGTTCATCTTCTTTGGAGCTCAATGAAGAATCAGCCACTCATGCTCCTTTCAAAGGCTAATTGAGATTGCATGGTTTCCATGGATGATGTAAGATGAAGAATATGAATCTAGAAAATGAAGCTTGAATGGATGAAAATGAAGCTGGGAGAAGAATAAATGCTGGATGAAATCTGGAATTAGGAAGTAACGGAAGAGCTAGATAAAATGATGATGAGAAGAAGAGAAGATGAATATGGAAAAATGAGGAATGAAAAATGGACGAAAATTGAGAGAAAATGAAGAGGGAAAATCTGAAAAATTTGAAGAGAAGTGAAGGAATGAAGCTGAAATGAAAATGAAGGATTAAGTATGTATATAAAATGTGAGTAGTGATAAAACTAAAGTGGATGATGATAAAAACAAGAAAAGTTTAGATCTGGAATGAGCTAGAAAAATGGACGAAACTAAATTTAAAATGAAGATAAAAATGTGGTGGAAAATGTGGCAAGGGATGTGTGAACATGTATGGGAATGTGACTCCTCCTTATCTTATATTCAACTGCCATATAAGCTCTCTTTGGATCTGATTATGTCATAATTCCCATGCCTCTTCTTCACTTGATGATATATCCCTCAATGCTTCACATGCTCCTAGTTTTTTATTTAATTAATTCTTCCTCAATTAATTTCTGAATATGAATGGCGCCACCTCATCTCCTTTCTTCATCTTCTATTTATTTGTTATCTCTTTGATTTCTCCAAGCAAGTTGACTTTGATCCTTAAGTCCAAATTACCCTGACAAAATATAAAAATAAAAATACAAAGACTAAATAAATTTTAAAAAAAATTAAAAAGGAAGAGAAATAATGTCCAAGATATCAAATTAAGATTTGAAAGTGACAATTCAACACCAAATAGCAAGATAAGGGTTCATGTGATCAATATAGAAAAGGTAGCTCATAACCAAGAATGGAACTCTGATATACACAATTTGATATCAAATCAAGTGTTTTAGTATGTAAAATATGTGACTAATCACTTGTTTAACAAAAATGCTAAATTTAAGCTTGTAATTATGCTTATTTATATAAATAGGCTAGGCTTAATTAGTCAAAATCATCTCTAAAAATGGTTTGAGCCTGGTCTATTTTCACCTCTATATATTTTTTAAAAATGTATTTTTTACTATTAAAAAACAAAATGTTCATGTGAATTTTTAAAAGTCATGTGATGCGTGCATTGTGGATATTTTGATAATTTGAATAGATTAGATTTTGTTGCTAAGAAACGCTGAGAAATTTGCCGCTAAGGATCAGGATCCCAAAAAATTTGAAACAAATTTATTGGATGGCATAGGAAATGAGTTGTCCATAAGGCCACCCTATCCCATTTCATAAATATGTGTATATATTTTAGGATTAATGAATATTATAAATCTTAAACTATTATTTAAATGATATTTTAAATTTTAAATTCTTAAAATAAATATTATGAACCCTAAACTATTACTCAAATAGAAAATTACCCTTTCCATTACTTTATATATGACTATTGTTATTTTTAACTTTATGACACCTAGTCAAAGGCTAAAGTGGCACTTATCTTTCTTAACAAATGGCATGTTAACTAGACTATATAACTATCAATATTGTATGGATAAACATCAAAGGTAATTTGCTTGAAATTTAAATTGAGGGGAGTTTTTGATCACTATAAAAGTTCAAAGTCCAAAATGTTATTCAAATGATAATTTATGATCCACGATGCTAATTAATCCTATTTTATATGATTCTTTTATACATTTTTTTATTTTTAATTAATATTTCTTATTTATTTTTTAAAAAATTTACCTAATTGTCATTTTTCTTATATATATTATTCATAAATTATAAATTTCTGATTTTTTTAAATTTCCTGACTTATTCCTGATTTATTGTTTAGACTTTAAATAATACCCCCTGTATTCAAAAATGTAAAATACTTTTTAAAAAATTTTATGTTAAAATTATAAAATATTTTTAATTTTTTAAAATGTAATTATTGTATTTTTTAAAAATATTTTTATTAAATAAATTATTTTATATTTATTTTAGAGTGAGATATTATGTGAAATAAGATAAATATAAAAATATATATTAGTTTTAAAAAAAAATAAAATTTAATTAAAAATATTTATAAGTTTTACGTGCAGGAGTGTATAAATATACGGCCGCGCTCTTAGTTTGATATTAACGAAATAAATAAGTGCAGCCCATCGTACAAGCAGAATGGTCCAATCAATCTTTCTCCAACTGATACAGAAACAGTGATTTCCACGAGGTCGTTGATAGTGACACAAGATTCTCACCTGCCGAAAGTTGAAACAAAAAAACAATTATAAAGAAATTTAATTTTAATTTTAATTTTAAATTATAATATAAAATGTGGCCATTACAATACAACATCGGTCCCCATCATTGTCAGCTTATATAAATTTAAAAAAAATGTAAAAATTAATAGTATTGATATAGTTTTTTAAAATTTTCAAAAATAATAAAAAAGTATTGCCATATTTAAATAATCATAAAAGCAAATTCCCTCCAACTAAAAATATTAAATACTTTTTGAAAATTAAATATTTAAAATAAAATATTTTTAATTTTTTACATATAATTATTATTTTTTTAAATATTTTTATTAATAAATAAATGTATATTTATTGTATGGTATTTAATAAGGATAATATAAAAAATAATATTAATTTAAAAATAAATAATTATTTTATTATGGTGTGATTTAATAAAAAAATTTTTATTTTTTTAAGAGAATAATAATAAATATTGCATGTGTTAATTTTTTATATTAGCAAAAAAGAAATGATAGCCCTCACCTGAGTTCATGACAGGAACTAAATAGTGAAAAATTGCATAAAGGCGTTTGTGTGTTCTTTTTTGGATAAAAGGATAATGTATTAATCGGTAAACGAGTAACTTGACTTGTAAATTATAGGTTTCGGAATCCTTTGAAAACTTAAATTCTTTTTTTAAGTTATATTTTTTTAACTTTTAAAAATAATATAATCTGATTTATACAATTGATAAAAATTAATTTTAATTATTAATTGATTAAAACATAATATCAAAATTATAAAAATGACCAGTAAAATTTTCTTAATCATTTTCTGTAATTCTTTATATCATTGTCTACAATTTTTGGGCTCTTAAATGTAATTTTTGAGATTTTTTATATCATTTTTTAGTTAACTAATGGTTAAAATTAACTTATATTAATAACAAAGGCCAAATTATATCATTTTTAAAGATTGAAGAAAAATATTACATAAAATATAAATTTAAGGTTCTAGACATTTCTTGGACTTATATTTTATGAGCTATTTTGCTCTTTTATCCAATATTATATATATGCTTCTAATTTACTTTAAAACATACAAATTGAATTGTTATTGGCATTTGGCCATTTACTAGAGGTAAACCGCATAAAGGCCTCAACAGCGAACAAGTATTTATTATCAGAGTCTATAATTTGTCAAGTGATAATGATAATTACTTTCATTCCATATGCATCAAATGCAAAAGATTTACTATAATTAAGTATTCGTCTAAATGCAAAAGACATACTATAATCGTTTAAATATATGTGAGAGGGATCTCAAGTTGAGTTCATGGGAACACAAAAATTACTCCATTTAGGATCCAAAACTTAAATCCGAATCAATTAATTAGAGTCTACAGTGACCTTATGGATGCAAGCTTGCCTCTTTTCCTTTTGAGTAAAAGAAATATTTCATTCCAAATTAAAATATAGAATGCTACCAATTCTACAATGGATCAATGAATTATAATGCGATTTGATTTAAATTTGGATTTGTTGAATTTTAACATGACCTTTCGCATCGTCCAGATGGTTTGTTAAAACACAGTTTCACACACACACACACGCCGAGCTTTACCAGTCATGGAAATGCATTATCATGCCATAAAAAGAAGTCTGAACTTAAAAAAAAACTAGCTACTTTAACATGTTTATATTTCATGCAGCTCTATTTCATTTAAAAGTCATAAATAATTAGACTTATTTGCAAGCTTAGAAAATTAAGTTTAATTGTTTTAATTTTTTTTTTTCCTTGTTTTAACCCAAATCAACTTAACAACTCCATTTAAAGCACTAAAAATTGAATTAATTATTAAATCCACTAAAATATTGGTTTGAGATTAATTATCAAGATCATTGAATGGATTCATATACCTCACATCTTTGAACTGTACTGTCAGACAGATCATGATCAAGTTTTTGAGCAGTTTTGTTTTACAAGTTTAGTTTACTGGGTCATAAACTGCACATCTTTGAACTCTCCTCTGCGATGAAAATGAAACTTGTGTCAGCTTCTGAATCCAAAAAATGAACAATCTCAAAAGGCCGAATCAGATTAACGACAACAATATAACTCCAAACCATATTACATTCTCTCACAGATCTCACTCTTGCTAAATAGTTCCTATTGAACTCCATAAATACACGTACACACTCCTCACAAACACCAATCAAATCCTAGCCTTGAACATACACAACAATGGTGAAAATGAAGAAACACATTGAGGAAGAAGAAGGAGAGATTGAATGGCAAGAAGCAGCAGCCATGGCTGCCAGTCTTCTCAAAGCTCGGAGATCAGCAAGAAAGAGATTCATTGGGGTTCGTCAGAGACCTTCTGGGAGATGGATTGCAGAAATCAAAGACACAATTCAAAACATAAGAGTTTGGTTGGGTACTTATGATTCTGCAGAAGAAGCTGCAAGAGCTTATGATGAAGCAGCTTGCTTGCTTCGTGGAGCCAACACTCGCCGAAACTTCTGGCCTTCTTCTCATCAGTTTAATAATTCCCCGGCAAATCCAGTTCTTCCCAGAAAGATTGCCAATCTCATCCTTCTTCGGCTCAAAGCTCGAAACCTTGCTTCTTGTAATTCTGCTCCATTGGGCCATTTTCCCAGTAACCAAACAGAAGAAGAAGAACCCAAGATCCAGCTTGATTATTTTCTTGATGGGTCTGATAATTATAGATCTGGGGGTACTACTAATGGTTTTTGTAGTGATGGAGTGATTGAAGAGGGCTGTGGGAAGAGATTCAATCATGAGGAAAGTGTAGGAAAATCAGAAGAAGATAAGGTGGCTAATCTCATGCTTCTTAGGCTAAAACATGACACAGTCTCTGATTCTGAAGTCACTCATTTTCCCAGTAACCAAACAGGTTTGTACAACTTTCTAGAAGAGTCAGACAATAGTTTTTTCACTGATTTTGGATTTGGAAACAAAACTAACATGGATGATGAAGTAGGATTATTTAGTGAAGAAAATTATTATGAGGTGCAATTGAAAATGATTGAGGAAAACATTGAAATTAGAAGGGAAAAGGAAAGGTTTATTGATGATGAATCTGATATGAAGAAGTTCATGGATTTCCAGTTTTTGGATAACGTGGGATCGATTTGTTATTCTTCTTCTCCATTTGAGATCGCAGAGGAGATGATAGGGCCAATGGATCAGCAAGACTTACATGATTATGAACATGATGGTGCTGCAAATTATGAACCATCATTTCTCAGAGAAACTTTTAGGATAAAATATGAAAGAAAATTCTCAGCTTGTCTGTATACCTATGTTGGTGTTTCTGAGTGCTTGAGGCTGCAATTTGAATCAGAAAATGCAGATTATGGGTTGGAAAGTTTCTGAAGATTGGTCTTCCTTCTTCAAATTTGGCAGCAAATGAGGACGGATTAACTGGGATTATGATTAGGACTATTTTACAGTAGAGATTTAATATTGCTTCTTAGTTCTTCATTATTAGCCCATTCTTTCACATGATGGTCAATAATAAATTAATAAAGATTGTAGCTATGAATTCTTTGATCCATTGTTGAGGATTTTGGCCGCACAGTAATAAAATTTTAGATCTCTCTCCATATAAAATGTTTCAAAACTTACAGTGATTCTTGCTATTTGCAAAAGTATAGCATCTTGCACTCCGAGAGTTTTGTAAAAAACTACTATCCAGAGATTTGTAAGTACCACTTTATTTTCACTCCCTTTATACTTTGCATGGGATAAACAAGAATACATAAATGGCCATAATGCTTCCAAGAAGACAATCGAAGATTGGTATAGTACCCGTTATTATGATGAGATTTCAATCATCTAAATTTACTTTGGACAATTTAAATTTAAAGTCTAAAATTTATAATTTTTAGAACTTTTTTTTTAATAAGGCTTAGAATATTATCTATTTAAAGTCTAAAATTTATAATTTTTTAATTTTTTTTTAAATAAGGCTTAGAATATTATCTCTATTTTAGATTGCGTATGTATTAAAAAACAAAATTTATAAAAAAATAAAAAAATAACACTTAATTTTGGCAGTATAAGTTTAATTTGAACAGTTTAAAAAACAATTCTTACCAATTTTCTCAAATGACCCTTGGAATCTATTCCACCTATCCCTTTTAACCTTTCTTTGGATTGATTTCCTTAATTTAATAACTCATCAACATGAATATTTGCAGAACCATCATAGTTAAATATCAAAAGACATTAATGTAGCTTTTGCCAATTCATATATATTTTAAAAATTTATAAAATTAGTTGTGTATGATCCAAAATTCAATGACCTTAAATTACTTATAAAAAAACTCAAATTAAGTGCACTTACTTAGGGAAATGGAAATAATGGGTCAAGGTATGAAAATAAATAAATGTAAGAGCTTAAGAATTAGTCCATCAAAACAACATGAAATAAAACATCAGAAGTTATTGGCCCAAATATGCAAAATCTACACAAACATGTTATTTGAAGTCTTAAACATAATATTTCACATGCAATGGCATGTACATGCGGAAAATCATGAATAGGCGAGAAAGATTCCATACATGGAAAGTAATGTAGAATGTAGTGAAATCGAAGGCAACAGCCACTATATGACATGACTTTTGTTTCCGTGACATTTCAAATTTTTAATCCTAAATTAATTAGGATGAATTGTAATTTAAGATTAACTATGAGTGAAAAATGATTTAAGAAAAACTCTTGGCCATTGGGCTTTTCGGATTTGGACCAATGAGTAACTAGGCCACTTGGACTCAAATGATAAAAAAGCCTATGTAGGTAGTTGGTCTTTAAATGTCATTCATTATGGTACATAGCACAATTCGACACAATAAATAGTCAAAATTTAAAGATATCTAGTTGTGGAAATTAGATGGAAAAAAAAAAGAGAGAAGGCTAATTATAATTTTGAGTTTACGATTGATTTTGACATATATAGGAATGTTAGAATATCATTTTAAGAAAATGGTTGGATATATTTTTGTTAAAACCATGATTTTAGTCTTTAAAATTGATTATACTTGGTGTCCAAACATGCACTTAATTATTGCTTTTGGGCAAATAACGTTTCGAACCACGTTTCCCATTATTTCAAACATACATTTTTACTTCAAGGCAGCTCAAACTTTTTTTTGTTTTTTGGCCAAGGCAGCTCAAACTTAATCAAATATTAGATGTTCTTCGCCTATCAAAAAAACATTCAATAAATATACCTTCCGGATCATCATAAATCCTTGACACATTATTTATTCAGCATAGCCTGACTTTTTTGTAGTTATGTTCCTACCTTAATTTATTGCATTCAGTAAGCTAACGTTTTAGAAATATACGCTTTTATCAAGTAAAGAGAAACTAATAAATAAATCCTCGTAAAATAGGCTAATAATAAAATAGTACCGTAATTACTTTAAAATCACCAGGAATTTATCTATCATAATTTATTTTTGAATAAACTGTCATAATTTTTTTACAAAATTACATTTTTGACTCTCTAAAAAATAATAAACAACATATAGTTTTTATTGCATGACTAAACTAAAGTTATGACCAGCTATCTAATATATTATTGATATTAATTATTAATATCTAAATTGAAGTTGTTAGTCACTAAGCTAAAGTTGCTAAAATAGGAAATGCATTTGTCATTGTATAGCTATATTAACAATTAACGCTTCTTTCGACTAAAAGGAAAAATTATGCTTCTTATATTATTAATTTTTCCTTCATTATTTACAATTTCAATTAAGATATTAGAAAATATTTTTTAATTATTTTGCTTAGGGCCAGAAACATAATTTCATTAAAAAAAATTATGTCAAATAAGTAGGACTAGTGCAAAAACCCAATAATCCTATAAAATCATCCCAACCTGAACAAGCCTAGTTTGGTCTAGTTAGGAAAAATTGACCCAAAAAATTAAAAAGACCAACAAAACCATACTTCACCTTCAGGTTGGAGTAGATAGGAGAGCGAAGAATTAGAGCATATGGTTTGGCCTAGCCATATAAAATTATTTTAATGTAATTATAATGATAAGTATTAAGTTGGTAGAAAAAGAAATTAAAGGGATATTATCATTTATTGTGGGCTTTTTACAATTTGTGATAAATATTATATGATTATAAGTAATTTTATTATCTTAATTGAATTTATTGAAATCAATTGTTGCCTCTTATAGAGGAAAAAAGTAGGGAAAAAGAAAATGGAGATACTAGACCATTGAAACCAATCTCACAATCTTAAGGACCAAATCCATTCCTACTAAATTTCAGATTTTGTGCATATCATACCTTAAGTTACCTAACTTAGTCCTTTACATAAAAAAAGACTACTTCAAATTAGACCAAAATCCTATTCTATTTGTCTTTATGCAACCCTACAAATAAGTGAGTCTTTAGAAACTTCAAAATAATTACCGTATTTAGTAGTTATCATTTTTTATTTACCTATTTTGATGAGATTTATTTGCTATTATCCCTTTATTAAATACTCCCTTTATTTAAAAATGTAAGATATTTTTTGAAGAGTTAAATATTAAAAAATGTAAGATATTTTTAGTCTTTTAAAGTATAATCATTGCCTTTTTTCTAAAAGTGTCCTTATTGATAATGACTTTATATTTATTGTAAGGTGTGTAATAGGAGTAAATATAAAAAAAATAGAGTTAGTTGAAAAGTAAGTAACTACTTTATTGAGGGTGAGATTCAGTTAAAAATGCTTTACATTTTTTTAACGGAGGGAGTATATGTTTTTAGGAAAAATATAATTAGATGTGTCATCAAGCATAATGTAATTACTAAACATCAAGTTGTTGAACATGATTGAGTGAATATTAAGATAATTTTTGGGGATAAACTATCTCAAATCATATAAAAATATATTGGAAGAATGGCACCTAAAGCATAATACATTCTGAATTAATTCTGGAGGTCAAAGGCCATATATGCAAATATGCTTTCTAGTCAAAAGACTCATCTACCCCACGTTTGAAATGTACAAGTTTTCTAAGTGTATTTATAATAGGATGTTCGTATATAACATAACAAGGTTTATACATTGACAGCACAATTTTCATTCATTATACACAGTCTATGTGGTTTAATTGAATGATAATGTAAAAATTTTTCAAGTATATGAGCAACATAATGTCTATATATAACATGACAAAAGCCATATATTAACAACAAAATATCCTATGAATGATTTTTTTTTCAAATGAGGGGCAAATGAATCTTTTCACTAAAAAAATATATTTGTATGTAAGGCCTATAGGGCTTCAAAATAAATTCAAAAAATATTATACCTTAGGTGTTAATTCCTTTGATCAGTGGGCTTTAGTTGCCATTCTCCCAAAAATATTATAAATCTAACTTGGTATCTTGAAAATAAAATTACTATTATGTGCAGTGCAAATTATTATAGATTTTCCATTCAAGTTATGAATAGGAAAATATATTATATAAAAAAATAGATTCTAACTACATACTACATCTTCTAATAATTCTTCTATAGCAACAACGTAGGAAAATAATATATTATTGAGCAATACAAGTGTTTCAAAACAATCTCTATAGATTTGAAAAGATTTTCTTGTAGACCACATTGTCAGTAGTAGTCTTTGGTCTTCCATTATTATCATGAATTAATATCTTCAAACTGTCTACCTTTTCTACTCTTGAAAGTGTAACATATAATTATTCGTGAGTGAAGACTAGTCTAGGTAGGTACAATCTAACATGTTGTAAAGGTTGACCTTAACTTTTGTAAATTATCATTGCAAATGACAAAATCATAGGAAATTGTCACCTTTAGGCAAACAGCTCTCAGAAGGATTCATATCCATTCTGTGTATTAGCACTTTTTGATTGGGGTTAGAACTGTTCAATTTTATTGCTTGAATAACAGTTTTTCAAGATGAGAAACATGCCATTTGGTGCCATTATACAAGCTCGATACTTGATCAACATTCCTCATCAACATGATTAGTGCTCCTACCTTAAGTGTCAACTTGTGGCCCCAAGTTTGCAATAGCATTTAAGAACTTAGTTGTGTACAAATCATCAGATGAATCATTATATTGCATTGACTTACACACTAAGTCTAAATTGTAATAATCAACTTTATGAATTCATTGACTCAGTTAACATAATCGACTGTAAGTGTCAAGATAGTTCTATTTTTAAAATATTTAGTAATGGAAAGATTTGTCAATAACCCTAGACACTGATAGGACTTAGTCACTTAATCTCTCAAAATTAATTATAGAACTAACCTAAATTTAATATTTAGGCTAACCCTAGGTCTTCTCTCAAGGAGGTGATTTGAATTATATAGGCAAGTTAACTAAGTGACT